TTCTTCAATGCTCATTTAAAGGTGTCCACAAATTTTTCCGCCTGTCCATTCGATCTTGGATGATATACTGGCATTGTCACGTGATCAATGGACAATGATCTACAGAATTCCTTGAATTCTCTTCCCATAAACTGCATTCCGTTGTCACTGACTAAAGTTTTAGGGAGTCCAAAGCGACTAAAAATTTCAGTAAATGCGTTTATTGTATTTGTTGCAGTCGGATGTCTGCACTTAACAATTTCTGGCCACTTAGTGAAACTGTCCACAATGATCAGGTAATAAGATCCATTTATTGGCCCTGCTTACTCGATATGCAATCGAGTCCATGGGACATCTGTTTTTGGCCATGGTTGAATCTCTACCGGTGGATCCCTTGCTGCCAGTTGACATCCTCTGCACTCTTTCACCAAATTTTCTATGTCTTGGCCCATCCTTGGCCAATAAGTATAGCCTCTCATTAGAGATTTCATTCTCGAAATCCTTGGATGCCAGTGTGAAATTCTTTTAGAATTTTCTTTTGCAGAGTAACCAGCATTACAACCCTATCTGCGTATAGTAATACCGGTTTGCAGATTGAAAAAGGTGACATACTAATTCCTTTTTTAGTTTTCTCATTCAACCAGACTTGCTTTTTCATTTTTTTAATGAAATCATCGTTCACCACTGCTTTTTTCACATCTTCTAGCATAACCGGTAGTTCTCTAATAGTGTTGCATAACAGACTCGACAATTCACTTTTGTCTCTTAGCACCGCTATTACTGTTTCTTCCAGTGGTTCTGTATATTTAGGTATCAATCTTGATAACCCATCAGCGTGACCTAGCTTCTTTGAACGCACATATTCTATTTTGAAATTATAATTCAATAGAATTACATCCTAACACTGTAGTCGATTTACCATGTGAGTTGGTATACCTTTTTTTGAACCAAATATTGTTAACAGCGGTTTGTGGGCTGTTTGCAGAATAAATTGTCTTCCGTATAGGAACCTGTGAGATTTTTTTACATCGCAGATTATTGCTAAACTCTCTTTCAATTTGACTGTAACTTGTACCGTGGGCAGTAATGTTCTCAAGGCATGTGCTATTGGCTTCATAGATCCATCCTCGAATACCGCACATAGTCCCTCATTACTGGCATCTGCTGCCGCAATGATTTTCCTCTTCGGGTCGAAATGCGCTAGTGATAGGTCTGCTAATAGATAGCTTTTTATCTTTTAAAAGCCTGTTTGCATTCTTTCAACCATAACCAGTTTGTGCCCTTTTTCACCAAATTATTTAAAGGAGCTCTCATATCATACATTTTTGGGATATAAATGCTATAGTAACTTACTAATCCCAAGAAGGCCTGGAGTTTAGCACATTATCAGGTGCTGGCATATTTTTTATAACCTCAGCCCTTTCTGGATCTGGTTTTCTTCTTTTACGGTCAATGATCTGCCGTAAATATTTTATCTTCTTTAAGAAGAACTCGCATTTTTCAGCACTCAGCTTGAACCCATATTCCTCAATTCTCTGAAATACTGCTCTAATATGCATTTTGTGTTGGGCCTCGTTTTCACTTTTAATCAAAATATCATCTAAGTATGCAATTGCATACTCCATACCAGCCAACATTGTGTCCATTATTTGCTGGAATAGGCTTGGAGCTACCTTCAATCCAAAAAGAAGAAGATTTAGTTTAAAAATCCCTTTATGCGTGTTTATTGTCAGGTACTTCGAACATTCTTCACTGACTTTAACCTGAAGGTAAGCCTCTGACAAGTCCAACTTTGAAAACACTCTACCTCCGTTTCTTTGTCCTTCGGTGTTGTTAGACCCTGCACAAAAATTAGACACTTGAACATGTCGCTTGACAATTCCTTTAATTTAAATGCCTCACAGTGTGTGTTAACCATACCTGCATACATGACAAAATCATCATCCTCTTGTTTTATGATATTTAGACACTTGTATCGTGTATGAATCGCAAATTTGCGACAAAATTTCTATTGTTTTGCTGAATGTAATTTCTTCTGGCTTCATTGGGAGGATTAAATTCGCGTATTTTGTATTTTCTTTTGTTCCAAACTTCTGCAAGAATAGAGTGATTTTTTCCTCATCGGATCATTATTCACATCTTTTCGTAAATATTGTTTCAAACCTACGAAAATAAACTGGAAACATTGAACTACTGTCAGAGTCGTATTTAAATTCAGAGAGAGAATTTGAAACTCCTTCAGCAGAAAAAAAATCTAGAACCCGGTTCTTTTGTTGTCCTAGATAAAATGTCTTCCCAAAGTGATTTATTGTCTTTTGCCTGTTGTTTGAATAACTTTTCAAACATTTCTTGTTGCTGAAGAAATTATTGTTGTTGTTGGTATTGTTGCTGTAAAGTGACTTGTAGCACCTTAGTTAATTCCCCAATTTGTTTCATTCTGCCAACGTATCCACAAGAAAAAAATTTTGTTCTATTTTATGTAGACAATAAAATTTTCTAAGTCCAAACAAGAGCGGGGGTGGGGATATTTCTTACTTTCTGTAACTGTTGCACAATTTTTCCCTTTTCTAACGTTCCTCGTTAATAAGCATTAAAACAAAAATGAGGGAAAAATTACTTAAGCGTCAAACAAGTCTTTCTAACGTTCTTCGTTAGTAAGTGTTGTCAACTGTATATTTTTTTCTTTTGTTTTAACTTGTGAGGTTGTTTCGAATTTCGTCGCCAACTGATATGTCCCGGAAAGGGATATATTTGTTCAAAGTAGCAAAGTGGTTGTTGACTACTGTAACTGCGTAGGACAATCTAGCAGATAACCGTAATGGACTGGTCCTCATCGTAGTGGTAGGCAATAGGCAAAGACAGTAGGCGTAGACCATGTACCTCCACATCAGTCTGTATTTATGGCTGACACCAGCCAATTATATTACTGTGAGGGGGAACCCAGGTGTATGCATATTCATTGCATCATGAAAAGTGGTACTATAGCCCCAGTAAGTACAAGATTCCATCCAAGAGTCCTTGCAGGATGAACATATGCTCTTGCTGGAAACATGGTTTTACATGCATAATAACTTGCAGCAATTGTAGGAACACTGATTGCAACAACATTAGTTTGGCTCTACAAGAAGAGGACAAATAGAAAGATGATTCTAATTTATTTGAGCATTTATTTTGAGTTATTTACATTGTTCAGTTTGCTATTTTTGATGGTGGAGTTGGGAACATTTCAATACTCGTTTGTGGTATTTCATAACCGTTTTTGAAGGAGTGCTATTTTCTGGGCGTATTATTTTTGCAATAGAGTTTGAATTAAAGATTTCAAATTCTATAATTTTCTGTTTTTCTACCAAGGATCACGTTTTAGGCAAACATTAAAAAGATGTGAAAAGATATACACACTTTTTAATAAGCATCTCCATTGTCAGGGTGAGCCATCAGTTTGCCTAGCAAAACAGGACTTTCAGGCCTTAAGTTGCTTAGTTGGTTGCTTGATGTAATAATTTATTTCTATGTATTTGTTTTCTTCATTCTCTAGTCATACTTTGCTTGTAGCACACAAGACTATCAAGTCTTCTTCAAATAGATACTATGTTTTACTGACCAGACTGCCAAAAAAGAAGAGGTCAAAGTGAAGATAAAATTATGCTACAAACTTGTCTCTATTAACAACACTTATAACCAGGCAAAATTTGATGTTCTCAACATCAGTGGTTTCTGAGATATAAAACTTCCTTACTTTGTTGTCTGGTTGCAAAATGTACAGATATCATGTGACTATCTTGAAAGCTACACACAGTGAGAGCAATGTCTGAGAGCAACATATGAGTTGATCAGAAGAATTCTAAAATATTTGTTCAACTGTTACTTCTCTTTCTATCTCTCCCTGCAGACTTATTTATTTGTCAAATTCAATTTGACAAACCAATTATTGGTCTGTAAATTATGGGTGTTTGGTCAGTATTTCATTCACTAAGAGATATACAGAGCTGGTAGTTCTTTGTTTTGTGTTATTTTTTATGTTATTTACTGTTTCACTGCTATATATATGACTACTGATAAGAGCCACTAGATAATGGTTCATTATTTCAGATCTGGTTTGCAAATTATCCCACCCCATAAGTCAAGTCCAAATATTTAGCTTGGTAACATTTTTTTCCCCATTGAACATTGATATTGACCAGACTATGAGGTCACAGAAAGTCTACATTTATTAATATGCAACTGCTATATACCAAAAATATTTGATATTTTGAGAACAATCTGATTTGAGTGTAAACCTTGTCTATTAATCATATTATTATATATATATATATATATATATATATATATGCTTGAGGATCAAATGGAACTAATGTCTTTAGTTTAATTACAAAATTAAATTCTGAGCTTTTAGCTTCCATTTTTGAAACATGGTTAGAACTGTGTAGCGGAAAAAACCATATTTTAAATCAATTAATTTATAATATTAATGCTCTCTAAATTTACATTGAGCACTATTTTGTAAAAATAAAAATATCTATAAGAACACTGGATTATATATCTTACTGTTCTTTCTTTTTATTTTTTATATATATATATATATATATATATATATATTAATCATATATATATATTGTCATCTAGTACTGAAACAAAGTTCAGCACTAGATAGACAAAGTGATTTGCCTATGTGCTAGTTAGATATTATTTACTATCATTGTGACTGCATCAGCCCATTGAATTATGATTTCCTGAAATTATAATTTTCAAATGTTTTGTGGTACATCTGAGAATTAACTATGGGGCTTTGAGGAACTGTGGAACACAGTTTTAAAATCACTGGCTTAGTCAATTGAATAAAATTATGTAGCAAATATATAGAAGCTACTTTAGGGTAAAATAAATAATTTAAGAGTCATTATAAGAATAAGTGATGTTATTTTTGCATTAAAAAATTCTTAAATTAGAGAAATTCACATAAAAGCAAAAGAAATAAAAGGTCTTATCAATAAATTAAAAATTGGGTAAAGCATAGATTTTACCTTTTTCTGATATAGTACTTCCTGTCTGCGATTTATCAGCAGATGCTGATGAAGGGCTTTCAATGTTATCATCAGTTGGAGTACTGTCAATGGTCTGTTAAGATAAAATTACATAGGTTAGTAATATTCTTTATAAAATATAACTGAGTTGTATATATAATCTCAATCTCTTAAAATTATAAAAGTAATCTTAAAATGTAAAGGTGAGGACTGAATTGATAACATTTTTAGATGAGCTTTCATAACATTATAAGAAGTTTCTTAATTATTTTTTTTCATGACAGATTTTAGTGAGTGTGTTTTACAAACATCTTGTGGGAACTCAGAAAGTTCTTTAAATTTGAATAGAGAGACTTGAATGGCACAGTAATCCACAATGTACAGCTTGACATACCAGAAAGGTATAAAATTGGTTGAGGCAGTGGAAAGCAATAGAATGCTACAGTGTAAAAACATGTTGCTACCTACAATGGCAAACTTTAACTCAAGGTATAATAATTTAGAAACTTTCAAATAAAGCAGATTTGGGAAATATTAGGTGCAAAGCATTACTCTGCAAATATACATGTAAATACAACCGGATATTTGCTGACATGAGAGAGATAGAGAGAGAGAGAGAAAAAAAAAAAATTAATAAGCAGTGCAAGTTGTCTAGTAAAGAAATATGACTGGTCTAATGAATGTTGTACAACCTGACTCTGAATCAAAGCTAGAAACAGGGCCAATACACTCCATGTTTGTGTAATAGGCTGGTGACCATTTCTAGCATATATTGTCTGTATATTATATTCTAGAATCTCATTATTGTAGAGTTATATGTAAATTCGGACTCAAAACTGGAATAGGTACATGAAATACTGTGTTACTCAATTTATAAGAAAAAAGTCAGATATATGGTGTCAGGTGTTTTGTATCAAATAGACAAAGTATTTCGCCACTGTACTGACACCACTGCAAGACATTAGCCTCACTCCAATAGAACATTTTTTTTACAAATCTGAATTCAGGTGATGCTGAGTAAGGACTGTGCTTAGGAAGAGGATATTGCTCAATCCCTAGACAGGAGTGTATACCTGTATATCCCAAATATCTATTGTTAGTCTGAAACTAATGTTCTTTCACTTATGGTGGTAGTGAGCTTCAATAATCCAATGCATATATCTTCATAAGTTAAACATAAAATATCAAACAGGAAAAGAAGAATAAATGTCAATAAAAGATCATAAGATTTACTAATCTCCATATTCATCTTGTATAAAAGTTTGATATATCAAGGGACACAACTCTTAAAGAATAAGATACGTTAATATTAAATATTTGTTTCCCTTTGAATTTAGACATCTAAGTCTTTGTATGAAATAGGAAACTGATAAATTTTACAAAGATTAATTTTGTAAACATTTGCTGCATAAGCCAATCATAACAGAAGATAGAGAAAATTTGATTGTAAATGAAATTACAAACAACTTATGAATCCACATATTGGCATTTATTCACACCAACAAGCTGGTGAATCAATGTTACTAAGGTACAGACTGCATTTCTTGGTTCTGCCAGTTCTAACCTTCATGGCTAGGACCCACCATGCCACTTCCATAGCAGCAAATCAACCACATTCCCTCCATATTCCATTCTGGAGAATTCCACTTGAACAGCTTCTTTCCACTTCTTACCGCTCTGTGGAACTGACTCTCAAGAGGATGTTTCCCCAATAACTACAATTTTCAAGACCTATAATCTAGACATGTTCAAGTCTAGGGTTAACCATTATTTTCCCCTCCTATCTACTGTAAGCCTCTACCTTTTAAAAAGTGAACCGCTTTGTAAAAAAAAAACAAAAAAAAAACAAACAAACAAAAAAAAACTCTTTCACCTTTTCCATGTTTGTGGTATTGTTAACCAACTTTAAGTAAGTAAAGTGCATGTTCATTATAATAAAATTCAGTTCTTAAAAATTGAAAACTCACATATATAGTCTGATAGACTAAGTCATCATAACATTATATATTATATATTTTATGAATTTAATAAATAATTAAAACAGTATTTTGGAAAATGAATAATTTTGAACTTGCCAGTTTTTTTTTTAATGTGATTATAATGATATTGTACTGAATATAAACTTTTTAAGTGGATTATGAATATGTATTCCATACCTAAAGTCATATTCTATCCTTTATATGTAAAAAAAAACAAAAAAAAATACCAGCTCCAAATATCAATTTGATTGTACATCTCACTGTTTACAAAAAAATTGTAATTCAGTTATAAAATGTAAAGTTATTAAAATATAAACATGTAAGCAATTTGTACATGAGCATAATGAACCTTTATGTGCTATAAATCTAAATCTACATTTAATCAAAATTTTTATATAAAATGCAAGGTTGATGTTTTAAAGATTTTGTAACTGACAGTTTAAAAATTATGCATAATATTTAATTAACTTTAAGATTATTCCTTAAATTTATCTAAAATGTGATTGCTAGTTTTTCATGTCTTGACCAAAAAATAATAAATGCACCGAAACAAAGTTGCATCTTTTTAGTGAGTAAACTGCTTTTGTTTTATATATTTATATATATATATATACATAAATATATATATATATATATATATATATATATATATATATATATGTATTATATATAAATAAATCACAAATTTCTTTATAACCACCAATAAAATTAGATTTTTTTTTCTAAATTTGAGCATAAACTTAAAAAAATATATTTGTGTAGACCTTCACTTAAACTGACATTAAATTATTAAAGAATCTTTCAATTTATTTATTCAAGAATTTTTGAGTTTAGGTTCTATAATTTACTTGGAAATGTATCTTATTCATATATCAAATATATGCATAAAAGGATTTAATTTAACAAAAAAAAAATAACTAAACTATGACTGGAGCAAATGTTACCAAGCAAAAATCATGACTACTGAATGAAAAGATAAAATGGTAAATAAAAAAAAAAAAATTTTAAAGAATTTTTAAGAACATAAACAAAAAATAAAACTATTGAAAGGTAAGAGTCTACCTTCATAAAATAACAGAAAATAGACAATCATTAACAAAGCATAGTTAATATTTAACTTATAGATATGAAAAGTTTGTTTTGATAAATTGTTAAAGACAGTAAAAAAATTAAACACATTAAAATCCAAGCAAAATCTATATTCGATAAGACAAACTGCTGAATAAATTGCTATAATTAGTCACATTTCCTAAAATGTCAAAATATTTAATCATGGTGTAATTAATGGTTTTCTAGAATATTAACAATTTTAACATGACAAATTATTAAAATAATAGAAATTAATTTCACAAATAAAAATGATTGAACATAAATTAAGATTAAAAGAAAAATATTTATTTTTAAGTAAAAACAAAGCATCCATGAATATTAAAAAAAAATCTTAAAATGTCAAAGATGAAAATGGAAAGAAAAAACAGCCACAATTTTAGCATAAAAATTATACATTTAAAAAAATATTTTAAAATAAAACAGCATGAAAACTATTTAATTTTAAAATTAGAAACCTATTTTATTTTTTTTTTTAAACTGAGAAATCATTTATAATGAAGATTTAACTTGGACAATTGCACTTTTTCCTAATTTTCTAATGTTCAGAGTTTTTATTTGGAAATATGAAAATTAAATTGAATACTGATGTATCTTTCATAAAAGTTTAATACTTTTTTTTTTATACAAATGTTTATTAGAAGGTGAGGTGACAGTCTTTATTTAAATATGAGTATCATAATATTGTATAATCATTCTATTTCCAAGCATTTCAATATTTAAGGTAATATTTCTGTGATCTTGGATTGAAATCTCCCTAAATTGATACAAACTGAACAAACAAAATTATACAGCAAAAATTGTTAGCTAAGAGCATCATTTATTGTAATGGCATATTTCTAGAGTTTATATTGCTCTGATGATATTTTAGAGAAACACTAGTTCTTTATGAATTCCAACATTAAATCAATTTTAAGGTGACACTAATTTATGAGTTATCATAGCAATTTGTTCATATTTTGACTTACCAGTTTACTTTGTTTATTCTTAAGCACTAGTATAAGCTTATAAGTTGTACATTTAATTATAAATCAATTATCAGGCATTATATTAATAATCACTAAAGAAAAAGATAACAGTGAACAAAATGTAAAATAAAATAAAATCCAAAGAGTTAGTTAATTAGATTCAATAGGATTGCATTGAACACTGTATAGAGCTGTGCTTACCTGTCAGTAAAGCAGAAACTGTATATTTCATAAACCTTTATCAAAATGTTCATAAGTTTATATATAATGAAATTCATCTTCAGAGTATGAAAAAGGTTTGTCAATGATTGTGACTATAAAATGAATGCCATTGAAAAATGCTTGTATTAATAACTGGTATTATTTTATTTATAAAAGACATTTATATAAATTGTATATATATATATTTATATAACTATATACATACAGTATGGACATAGGAATCAACACTTGATAGTGACTTTCAATTTTTTTATTCAATATGATTGTAAGACCAAGTCCATATATTTATTCATATAATTTATATAAATATAAATTTCTATGTAACTATAATTTATTCAATTTAAATATAAATTATATAAATATAATTTTTTGTGAAATAAGCAGATTTATATGTTATTTGTTTAGGAGATTCATTACATGTGCAGAAATTTTAATTTAAATTACCTACTGACTGAAGAATATTTAAAAAATATAAACTTTTCAGCGCAAGGTAACACAAAAAAGCTTTTGGTTTTCGAAATGAAAAATTTAATGTTTGGCCAGATTTTTAGGGTGGTTGAGATTTCATTTAACCTATCATTTATAATTATAAACCCTAGTAAAATTTAAATTCTAAATTTTGTTTCTTCAATTGAACTTGTTCATGTTTTTGATGCTGCTACCACAATGCTTCAGGTGATGTATTCTTTAGCATTCTATAGGGAGCTCCACCAAGATTTTAAAAATAAGATATGGCCAGATACGTAAGTTTCTTTGCTTAGGAGAATAAAGGGTATGAGGAACTCCTCCATGTATAGGCTGTAATTACTTGGGTACAT